CAGCTGAGCACAAACAGCGTAAATTAAAGCAAACGTAATGAAAAGGGGACAAGCAGATTATGTTCCCCCTGCCCACTCTGCATTTGGAAAACAGCTGAGCACAAACAGCGTAAATTAAAGCAAACGTAATGAAAAGGGGACAAGCAGATTATGTTCCCCCTGCCCACTCTGCATTTGAAAACAAACGGACAAGTTCGGTAAGCCTAGCAAAAATCTATCGCATAAAAAAGGACAATAAAAGATTTCCTTCCTGCTCTCTCACTCCTTGCCTATTAAAGTGAATAACCTTTGAGATGAATTATAAATATATGAATGATAATTAAAATGATTAAATTTAGCAAAACAGCAGGTTCTTGCAAAGTTCTAGCAGCATCTAGCAATAAAAAAAGGACAATTATACCCACACATCCCTTCTCTAGTGCTCCCCGCTCTTTGGCTATTAAAGCAAATAAATTCCAACCAAGTGAGTACTCAATCATACGCAATACCATCATAAAAAGTACGGCGTAGCTCGTTTTTCATGAATCTTTTCCATTGTACAATGTTCTACAAAGAACCTATCCTTAATTTTTTACTAGGCCTAAACACGCGTATATGGTCTCGACTATTAGGCGATTACATATTGTTTTTGTGTCCGTGCATTAGTGCGTGCGTGCGTGTGTGCGTGAGTAAGCGTGTGCAGTCGTGCGTGCGTGCTTGTATAGGCAGATTTTCTACCACACGATACTTCCAACGCATACAATCACGATGGCATGTAACATTAATAACTTCTCAACTTGATCACGTTCTGTCAGCAGCTAATCGGAGACTTGGTCGATCATCACTATAGCTGCTGAGCTACTCGTAAGGTACAAACACACATCAACACATCATCACAATCTCTGGCATTCACGCATGAAGCCAGCCCGATGTGTCATAGCAACAGCCGCCTCCACAGAGACACGTAATACCTGCCACGAAAGCGCAGCGAAAGCACTCTGCCGCGTACTAGCTGCCTCCCGTCAAAGTAAACGGTGATGAAACTAGACCCTTACGCACCTACATACCTACGCACGCCCATGCACGTATACGCTTTTATACGAACAGATCGCATCCCATAACTAGTCGATATGGAAAAGAAATTTCCATTCGATTCTTACACCGTAATGCACAGAACCAGAAATACATCACCTCTTGTAATAGTAGTGCTAACTCATCCTTTAGCTTATACTACTCCACAGTTTAAGGCATGAATGACAGAATGACTACATCTGTACCTGTGTATCTCCCGTTTGGAAGGTCACTTGTCGGTAAAACACTAAATCGACTGTGCTTCCACACTTGCATAGGCAGCAGTAACAGCAAGATGTACATTCAGATAAAAATATACGTGTTATACAGCATATAATGTCATGCATGGAATCCATATCAGCAGACCATTTCAAGTGCCGCCATCCTCACGTGCGCAAAGTGTAGGAGTTAATCAATCGACAGAATATGGCATAAATTTGTTGTGTAAAAATTTCAAGCATGTAAATATTTAATTCATTGTAATGATTTTTCCAAAATGTCAAACGGTGCGGAAACGTGCCGGACTTTTTGCACTAACGATTCTGAACATCGTGACTTTCCATTGCGTTTTGCATTTACCAGACTTGTTCTCATAGTGCTAGTCTGTTTCAGTGTATCAGGTACTAAGTTTATTTCTTAACAAATTATTATTGTAATTACCAGCTGCACCAGTTTCAGAAATATATAGCAGTGTAGAGCATTAATAAAGGCGATGGTCAATTTCTTGTCAAGTGAACGAACACATTAGCACAAATACCATAACACGCATTCGCTGCAGTCACATGTACTGTACTGTATCTTGTCTCTCCACGAATTACGTTTTAAATATTTACTTTCTCTATCTATTTGTTTTCTAGAAATAGGATGAGAAGAGCAAAACAGTGCAGCTAATCACTTCATTGCTGACGATCATGGCAGTGATGCCATGTCACACCATGTCATGTCATGTCATGTCATGTCATATCAGTTCATGTCATGCCATGTCACATCATGCCATGTCATGTCACATCATGCCATGTTATGTCACATCATGCCATGTCATGTCACATCATGCCATGTTATGTTATGTCACGTTATGTCATATCATGTCATATCAGGTCAGGTCATGTCTTATCATGTCATGTCAGGTCATGTCATGTCATGTCATGTCATGTCATATAATGTCATGTCATATCATGTCATGTTATGTCATATCATGTCATATCAGTTCAGTTCATGTCACACCATTTCATTCATATCAGTTCATGTCATATCAGTTCATGTCATATTAGTTCATGTCATGTCATGTCATATCAGTTTATGTCACACCATGTCATGTCATATCAGTTCATGTCATATCAGTTCATGTCATGTCATGGTATGTCATTTCATGTCAACGGGTTGCAAGTACACACACACACACACACACAGCGAGAATGAATACTTACCCATGAGTGTTCCACGTCCGACTGAGTCCAACATCACTCTCATACCCACGATGCAGGTACATGGGAGTGAATCCACGCGCACCCTGCATCTGCGAGACATCAGAGACAATTATTCTAGAGAGTTGATGAGACAAGATGTTGTGACAAATGTCTTTACGGATGTCGTCTCAGAAAATTCCAAGTGACGAAGGACACAATTTCGTGACATTACAGAGGAATATGAGAGTATTTCCTTGAGAGTATGGCTCTCAAGTATACTTCTATATAGAGTATTACTTCTATGAGAGTAAGGCTTGGGGAAATGAACCACACTTTGGATTATTATGATTACTTTAGTACCAACTACTTTTTATTAGGCATATTTGTATTTCTCAAAAATCTGGGGCAGATCTATGACCCTAATCTTAATAGGCAAGTCATTGTTAAAAAAGTAAATAATGCTAAAGTCATAAATAATGAAATAATGAATAATGATGTAATAAATTAATAACGAAACTAATCGGCAATAGTAGAGAAGTGTATGAATAAATTATTTTATCTTCGTTCATTAAATGATCTCACTGCATTAAAAAAACGTACTACATTTATCACAATCTTTTTTATATTATTTATAAATTAACCTAATTACATATTACTGTAATTATTATTGTTATTGTTGTTGTGGTGGTGGTGGTAACATGTCAAGAAGATAGACATCCAAAGCAGGGGAGACTCTCAAGGTGGGGTAGAATCCTAGAGAACCCCAAGGTGGAAGAAAATCTTAGACTCGCAAGGTAGGGGAGATCCCTAGAGAACCCCAAGGTGGCGAAAACCTCTACAGACTCTCAATGCAGGGAAGCCCCCGATGGAAACTCCTAATGCAGGGGACACTCCCAGGGTGGGGGATACTCAGAGAATCTCCCAAGGTAGAGGAGGAAACTCCTCGAGTCTCCTGCGGTGGAAGAGACGCCTATCAAGGCCATCTGTACCTGTACACATCCTATAGTCCAATAAATGACATGTTCTCTGTGATTCACAGAGTACTGTATACGCTGTATATTTCGCAGTGGTTTAATTTTCGTGAATTTCGAGAACGCGTTCCCGACCGCGAAAATAACAACACGCTGTTCTTCACTGATTCGGGAATTCACCGACCGCGAAATTAACCACTCACGAAATTGTCCGTCAAGTCTAAATACGCGAAAATATCTGTACGCGAAAAGCATGGCGTATACAGTACTCATTGCATCAACCATCTGCATTCATCTCTTCCACCAAGACTTCTCCTGTTAAATGTGGAGCAGCGACGTGCTACTCGCTGCTGCGTACCTGCATGGAGAGATTTTGCTGAAGCTGACACTGCAACGCGTCAGTGAGCTTCCCCACGATGCGAGACTGCGCTGTTGTGTTGTGCTCGGCCGTCGAAATTATGTTCAGCGCCATCTTGAAAAACTGGGCGGCCTTCCCCGGCCTGTTCTGATGGAGATTCACCGAACCCAGGCCTTCGTATGCCTGCCACTGACTGTGCTTGTCACCTGGGAGAGAAATAGTAGAGAAACAATGCATATAGAATGGATTACACCAATTCCGTACACCGAGTACCCCTATATACGCTTCACTGGACTTGTGCATTTGAGTCTTCATTACTCATAGATAAATAAAACTGTGGAGATTACGTAAATACGTATATATGATGTACTCGCGATTTCAATTGTTTATAAATAACGGTCAAAGCTAAAGGCATTCCATGGCAGTATTAGGTCATTATCAAACCAATCCCAAGCCATTCCTTGTGAGAATGATATGAAATTAACAGGCATAGGCCATAAGGAGAATCACTACAAAAGATTGTGGATAAAATGATGTTATGAGTGCTAAGTGGAGTAGGAAAAGATGGGGGAAGTACATGGAGGGAAGACAAAGGGTAACGCAAGAGGAAAAGATACGAGGTAAAGGATAGGAGGAGGGAGTAGAGGAGGAGTAAGAGTTACATAGAAGTAGGGAGATGGGGTAGAAATAGACGTGATGGATGAAGAGGAGAATGTGGGAGAGTAGAAAAAAGGAGTGGGGAGGTAGATGCTACAGAGACGATGAGGTGGGGAATGAGAAGAACTAAAGGAGGTAGATACAATACATGAAGAGTTACGGAACATAGTGGATAGGAGAAGGGAGGAGAAGTAGGAACAAATAGAAAAGACAGGAAAGAAGGGAATAAGGACTAGATATAGTAGAGAAAGTGTAAGTGTAGAATAATGGGGAAGTCAAGGCCTAGAGGGGTGAGAATAAGAGGGAGAGGTATAAGAACACGAGGCAACAGTGGAGGCAGTGGAGAGGTGACAGTGAGGATAGAGAAGTGGAGGAGGCAGCAGAAAGGTACAGGTGGGGACAGGGGAATAGCACAGGTAGCAGAAAGGTATAGGTGGGAGTGGGAAAAATTGGTGATAGCAGAGTGTTACGGGTGGGTGATGGGAAAAGGGAACACAGTAGTAGAGGTTGAGTTAAGGAAATAACAAAAGCACCAGAAAGACAGCTAAATGTGGAGTGGAAAATAACAGAGGTAGCATAGAAGTAGAGATGGGGTAGGGAACGTGGTGGCTTCATCATGGACATTGTGACAACCAGGGCGCAAAATTAGCACCAGCCCACCGGCATCTGCCGGCAAATTATTTGGAGGGCCAGTAACATTGGCAAAACACCGGCTCTCCGAGCCAGTAGTTTCAGCCGTGTTAGCGAGTACCTACGTTTTTATTTATAGCATTAATGAGGAAATAGCGTACAATACTGTTTTACCTGAAGGATATCACGCCAAAATTTATCAACATTTTACAAGCAGAAGCAAAGCGTGAAACTGGAAACATGACATTGACAAAAACACTTCGGACATCATTCACGATCTGCATTATAGTCTGTTCAACAACTACTACGTGATGCCGCACACTACAACATTTTTCGTACAAGCATGAGTCAGTGAAACAATCTTCTTTATTTTTGGGAAAAAAATCTGTGAGGGCTGGTAAAAAACTGTTGTTGCAAAAATATCTGAATTTCATGTCCTGGACAACTATAAGGAACTACAATGTGGCTGAATGCTACATGCTGCATCCACTCACCAATGTCTTTGAAGGCTTGCAGAGCATGCAGGTAAGCCTCGCCCGCCTCTTCAAACTTGCACAGCTTTGCGTACGCGTATGCCAGGTTACAGAAGCTTTGACCTTGTGAACCTCGATTGCCAAGCTCAGCTGAAGCAAACAGCAGAAGACTCCTTTGCAGTCACGTGAAAATCTTAAGCCCTACTCTACATCTAAGCAATGCACTACTACCACTAGTGCAGGTACTATTTCGCAGGTGCTGAAGTATCTTGTCACGATGAAATTCCAACAGTGAATTTATATAAAAATATGATTATCGCTATATTTAATATACACGCACGCACGCACGCACGCACGCACGCAC